GCAAGGTGTACGGCAAGACCTCGCACCTGAAGGCGCACCTGCGCTGGCACACGGGCGAGCGGCCGTTCGTGTGCAACTGGCTCTTCTGCGGCAAGCGCTTCACGCGCTCGGACGAGCTGCAGCGGCACCTGCGGACTCACACGGGCGAGAAGCGCTTCGCCTGTCCGGTGTGCAACAAGCGCTTCATGCGCAGCGACCACCTTGCCAAGCACGTTAAGACGCATACCTGGGTGTCCAAAACTTCCGGGCAAAACCCATCCCGCACAGACTCTGTCTTCGCCTGGGAGCGCAGTGGGCGGAAGTGAGGCGGGCAGCCAACCGTCGGACCTCGGCTGAGCGTGGGCAACCAGCGAGGGTCGGGGGACACCCTGGCAAGGGTTTCCTTGACCCTAGGGAGGCAGGCCTGTTCAACTTCTTTTCCTTTCAAGTGCTAGGTGGTCCTCGGCAGCCTTTCTTTTATGGTTTGTGATTGTTGGCCCCCCCAAAGAAGAGTCTTTGGCCCTCTCCATACTCCCCCCGCCCCAGCAGTTCCCTCGTGGGTCTGCGTGGCACGAGAGCGCTCGTTGTCTTGGCCGGCCTTCGCGGGGGTGGGGGATGCCAGCATTGTGGACCCCCAACCGCGGTAGGCCACCCGCCTGTCCACCCGGGCCTTCACGTGGAACAAAAGGGCAGGATGGCGCTGGGCAGTGCTGTAGTGTTCTTTCTTTTCCTCGGACGTGTATGAGTGGTTCCCCTGGGCGCCCTGCCAAGCTCTTTGGGTGGGTGTAGCGCGAGGAGGGTTTTCTAGTTTCACTATCTGCAAAAGTTGTGGCTTCAGGAAAACTTGCCCAGTTGAGGTAACGTTCCATATAGCAAGACAGCAAGCCAGTGTTTTCCAAGGATTCCTCGCCATTCTAAATGCTTGCGACTGAATGCGCTCGGCCATTTTAATGATCAAGAGCCCCAACGAGTTAGGGCATCTGTGACTAGCTCCAAATCCTTAAAGTTAACTTTCAGAGTGTCAGATTGCAACCCTTCTCTCCCCCCAGCCCCCACCCCGTACCACCATTAAGAAAAAAAGTATTCAAATTGAAGAGGCAAAGTTTGATCCCCTCCGTGTTGGGAGCTGAGAACAATGGCAGCTCTCTGCTCTCGCAGGACTTCAAAAGGCTCAGCTAAGAGGACTTGGTTGTAGACGACTGGGGAAGCGCACAGGGGTTCTCAGGCAACTGCGAGCCGAGGGGCAGCCTGCCCTTCACCCCAACACCTCTGGAAAAACAATGCCTGCTAACAGTATCCGCTAGGCACTTGCGAACAACTGGAAAGGTGG